AAACAAAAAAACCTGAATAGACAAATAGCAAGTAATGAGACTTAATTAATAATAAAAAAAAACCTTCCCAACAAAGAAAAGCACAGGAGCAGATCACTTTATTACTGAATTCTGCCAAACATTTAAAGAACTAATACCAATATTAAACTATTTCAAGAATTGAAGTAGATGTAATTCTTTCAAAATTATGCTATGAGGCCAGCATTTCCCTGATACCCAAACCAGGCAAAGACAAAACCACCACCACCAACACCACCAAAAGAGAAAGGAAAAAGAACACTACAGGCCAAAATCCTTGGTGAATATAGATGCAAAAATCATCAATAAAATACTAGCAAATCAAATCCAACAGCACATCAAAAAGACTATATACTATGAGCAAGTAGGATTGATGTAAGGATGATTCGACATACACAAATCAATAAATTTAATACATCACACCAACAGAATGAAAGAAAAAAAACATATAATCATCTTAATACATGCAGAAAAATCATTTAATAAAATTCAACATCCCTTCATGATAAAAAATCACAACAAGTTAGGTATAGAAGGAAATTATCTTAATAAAATAAAGGCAATATATGACAAACCTATAGCTAATATCATACTGAACAGGGAGAAAGTGAAAGCTTTCCCCCTAAATACTAGAACAAGAGAAGAATGCCCACTCTCACCACTTTTATTCAACATATTTCTGGAAGCCCTAGCCAGAGCAATTAGGTACAAGAAAGAAATAAAGGGCATCCAAACTGGAAAGGAGGAAGTCAAATTGTCTTTGTAGATGACATGATTTTACATGGACAGAAACCTAAAGACTCTATCAAAAATCTCCTAGACCAGGCCCAACCCCATGGCACACTCGGGAGAGTGCAGCGCTGGGAGCACAGTGGCGCTCCCGCCGCAGGTTCAGATCCTACGTAGGGATGGCCGGTGCGCTCACTGGCTGAGCGCGGTGCAGGCGACACCAAGCCAAGGGTTTTAATCCCCTTACCGGTCACAAAGAGGACAAAAAAAAAAAATCTCCTAGACCAGATAAACAAATTCAGTAATGGGGCAGAATACAAAATCAACATACAAAACAAAACCAAAACAAAAAACAAACAAAACCTCAAAAGCACAGGCAACAAAAGAAAAAATAAACAAATGGGATTACATCAAACTAAAAAGCTGCTGCACACAAAGGAAACAATCAACAGAGTAAAAAGAAAACCTACAGAATGGTAGAAAGTATTTGCAAATTATGCTTCCAAGAAGGGATTAATATCCGGAATTTACAAGGAATTCAAATAACTTAAGAGTAAAAAACTCCAAATACTCCAATTAAAAATAGGACATGAG